TATGAGATAATTATGTCAGTAGATTAATTGTAAGCCAAAATATGAAAACAATTTATTTTATAATATAATTAATATTAATATGAACAAAGTCATATATATTGTATATAAGATGAATTTTTTGACATAATCCACTTTCGTAATTACCGGCACACATATCAACATGGTAAGCCTTTATAATCACTTGCATTTAGTAACATGATCGTTAACTTTGTTTTCCATTAAAATGAATCATTGGTACTACCATTTTTTCTTAAGACGATCGCGTTAATGACCAATAAATGGGTCGGTTTGTTTCATTAGGAAAACTTAGAAGGACGAGATGTCTTATTGAAACTCTGATTGCCTTATTGGTACATCAATGATCTTTTTAGTTTCTTATTTAAGTATGCTTAACTATACGCTCGAGTAACGAAAGAGTTCAGTAGAATTTTATGGAGTAATATAAATCGATAATACTTTCCTATCACAATATAAACGAAAGTCCCGATAAATTATTCATTTAATTGAAATCATTTTTATAATTATTAAATTCATATTGATAGGAGAAATAATTATAAAAATAAACAACACAAATGCTTAAATGACGTTGGATGTTCATTTTATCAATACCTTGTCCTATTTCTCACATAATAACATTTTTTATAACGGAAATAAAATTGAAAGGAAGATAAAGAAACAGAGAAAAGGATAGAAATATATGTATATATGTATAAATACACATAGAAAGAAAGAGAGAGAGAGAGAAAGAAAGAGAAAGGGAAGAAAGAAAATGACTGCAGTAAAATCCCTACGATTAGCCACGGTCAGTTGGTTAGGGTTAACTACGTCTATTTAGTCGTAGCGCAAAACATTTAACTTAACTACAACAAAGTGCTCGAACTCAAATGAAATATTATTAAAGCCGGGAAACGCGACGCATACTTAAATCGTAATTACAAACGGGTACTTTCGTGACGAGCGTCGTTTAAGGACCTCCGTTCTAAATCACAGACATTCGTGTTTCTTCCTTCGAAAAAAAGAAGTTTCTTTTAGATTCGTGAAAGTCTTTTTTTATTTTTTTTCCTATTACCTGAAAGATTCAGGTCGTGAAGATTGTCATATCATTGTTGTTGTATCGAATCGTTTTAATCGATCGAAACGTTACTTTCTATTTTTTGTCATTGTCTTTTCTATTTTATAATTATCTATTAAACGAATAAATGATCTATAATGATCTATAAAACACATCTCTCTTTTAAATTATAATACTAATATCATTTTTATAACTAATTTTTATCTGTGAAACTAAAGTATCTTTTTTTTTATTTCTTTCTTTCTTTTACTTTTGCTTTTGTTACTTCTGTTTTGTTTGTTCTTTACTTGTAATCTCTTTGAAAATCCATTGTAAAATTTGATCAGAGATACTCACGATTTGAACAACTTCGTGGATCAGGCAAGGATAATCGGCGTTGAGCGTTCACGACGATTACGCTGAGGAACAGCAAACAGATGGCGACCCTCATATTCTCAAACCTTAAATAAAACAAGTCGAATGAATAAATCAAGACAAAAATTAAATACAAATATTGAATTATTTTGTTGTAAAATTGGAAATTAAAATTTATAAATTGTTTTATATATAGAATTTATTTTTATACGAATAAATTTGATTTTATTCTCATTAGAAATTCTTAAATTGATACGAGTATTTAAATTTATCTATTAAAAAAAAATTAAATGATCTAACGAGAATGGATAAAATAATACAAAAATTTCATCGATGTATTCCTTTTACGTCATATCGATAACGGTCTACCATCTTTCGTAATATTACTGGTTTTGGTCTCGAATTTTATTCGAAATTGAAATTCCATCTCGATGTATAACTCAATTGCATCATCGAATTTTAATTTCGTCGATTTACAAATCCATTTCGATTATAAATTGCTTTTCGATGTTTTATACGATGTTTAACATTTACATAACACACACATTTGATTAGATTATAATTTTATATAATATATATTATTGATTTGTTGAAGGAAAAGTTTATTCGTATTTTTCCGATAGATTACTTTAGAATTACATGACTTCGGTAATATGTCATAACAAAATTAATAAAAAAAAGAATTGTGATATTTTTGTTTATGATAAATGAGTGAAATTAAATAGAAAATTGGACGCATTAAATAATTATGGTTTACTGATGATGAAACTAAAATGACTTTATCGTTTTTTGACTTACACATATATTTTATACAATCAATGTTTTTCTATTTTCAACTTTTATCGAGATATTAATTAAAAAATTTATTTGGATAAGATCGATAGAATTTCAATTTCGATCGAGGAAAACACGATTGAAAATATAATTCTGTTGGGTAATGATGAGAATCGAGCTCGAAGCTAAAAATGAAAAATACAAAAAAATAAAAAGCATGATGATCAGGGCTCGATTTCACGCATGGTATAAATCGAAATAACATCTGATCATTCTACTAATAACTTTTATTGTAAGAGAAACTGAGAAAGATTTTCTTTCAGTCGCTAGCATTCTTTTCATAGCAGAACCTTTATAATCGTTTAAATAGTTTGTTTCCTTTTTAACATTTTCTTATTTACTTTGATTTCAAAAATAAAATTCTACAAATATTATTTAAAATTATTTCGATATAACGATTGTCGTTATTTCTTCAATCATTTGATAAGAATGTTATTTAATTATATTTCTTTACGATTAATCCGTTATTTATATCGTTATTATAAAACTTTTTAAAGAGCAATAAAATAAGAAGAAGAAAATAAAAATTCGATTTATTTCTGCATAAAGTTTATACTTAATTACGATAATGTTAATAAGCTTCGACATATTAATGAAGACTTTTTGATCATTCTTTAGATTTATCATGCGATTCATACAAATGTCTCATTTTACTTGCTCATAATTTGAATACATTAACATATTTCTTGATATTCGTCAGATTTATTATGCGGTTCGGTAAGGTATTTTCTTTGCGGTTCGTAAGTTTGGTATATTTATCGTGTTTCTTGAAATTCATCATCAGATTTATCATGCGGTTCATAAAACCGAACCGTAAATGTAGTATCTTAAGCTCGCAAATTATAGGATGAACGTGACCGTAAGGAAGTTGCAGTTTGCATTTCGAAATAATCACGAAGTACTGGCTGATCACTCTCACGTCGGTTACCGTAAATGTCAGGTTCAAATGATCACGTACGTCTGTATCCTTACGTTCTCAGTACTCGTAAACCAGTCTGGAAGGCAAAGGTACATTAACCTCACAGCGTCGAAACATTAAATTGCGCGTAAGAAGACTATAAAAATGAAACTCCTTGCAGTATCGTTAGTTAACACGTAGCAGACATCGAAGAACGTCCTTGCACATAACTTTAATTGATTTTTTTCTTTTTATAAACATTTTTCTTCTATTCAATATAAATCCAATTTCTGCATTATCTCGTTAGCTATTATCTATTATATATAAATTATTTTCAGTGCAATAAAAATAAATTCATTCATTATCCGTATGAAAGAAATCTCATAATATGAGAACTCTGCAAAGTTCATTATTTTGAGGTCGTTAATCACTATTCTATTAAATCGAGATCCCCTTTATGAAGATATAAAAACCGTAATATAGCTATACCATAGACGACGTGTTCACATAATAGGAGTAAATCATAAACAATTGGTGATTAAATCGAGCGTTATATAACGCCCCATACTCTTTATACTCTTTAGGAAGAATTCCCATATACACATAGACATCTTATAGTTTAAAGAACCGTAAGGAACGACACTTCTTTCTTTCCTTATTCGTAAAACTACACTAACATAAGCTATAGGATTTGCTTTAGCATCCAAAACTTTCTTACTCCTCGACTATCAACCAAGACACATTCTCTTTCAATCCATTTATAGTGATCGTTGTGAGAGGAAAATTTCAATTTTAGTTTCTTTCACTTCGCATTACGTATGATATCGATCTAGAATTAAAAAGAAAAAGTAAATTACGAATATCTATCTCGTTGATATATATTTCGAATGTATCAAGTTTGATTTTCTCAATTGATTCGTAAAAATCATGTTTCTTATTCATATCAGACAATAAACTGCGAAAAACAAAGAAGAGAATTGTCAGACGAGGTTGCAAAATCCCACGCATTCAACGATCCGCTCGTTCGCTTTTATAATCCTCGCTTGGTACGAAAGAGCAGTGAGATGGTTTGTCTCATTAATTTCGTACCTTGCTCTTTCTCTCTCTCTCTCTCTCTCTCTCTCTCTCTCTCTCTTTGTCCCCTTCATCCTTTATATATACTTCTCTCTTCCTATTTCTATCTTTCTCTGTCTGCTTTTAATCACAGTACGATGCTTGGTACTCGCGCTTTCTCCGTGAGTGTTACGAACCGATACAACTCTTCAATTCACTCGCTCTTATCTTTCGCTATTTTCTCACGATGCATTCACTTCGAAAGAGAGAGGAACAGAGAGAGAGAGAGATAGAAAGAGAGAGAGAGAGACACAATCAAAGATTGGATGCTCGTACTTCAGCGACGTGTGAGATCGACTCGAAACGTGAAAATTTGTGTGAAAATGGAAGAGAAAATTCTCATTAACTACTTCGTGTTTGCAACTTCGTATTTTTGATCGTGAAAAAATCACAACATTATAAAATCCTAAAATATCTTCAAACGATCTTTCATTTTGCTAAGAGAAAAAACAAACGATATTAAATCTCTCTCTCTCTCTCTCTCTCTCTCTCTCTTTTTCTATCTAAGTCTCAATGAATTTTATGTCGAATTGATTTATTTTAAATTCGCAACTCTAGGAAGCAAGTCACGTATGATATTAGTTGAATCTACCGTTAGAGAACATTACATATGATATACTTTTATCGTTCACCTACTTCTTATCGCTAAAGTCTACCTTGTTGCACTTACGATCGTTTTTAATATAATAAATTTTTTTTTTTTTTAGTATGAAATATATAATATATATTTATATAAGTTATTTAATCGGTATCATAGAAATTATATTGAAACAATATAGAAAATTGTTTCAATAATATTTTATAAATCGTTTTTCGATTAAATCCGTTGTTTATTATCACAGTTTTTTTTTTTTGAATAAAGAAAATTTCATACACCACTGTGCGTGTAGTAGACTCGATTTTCGTCTTGTAATTCGATCGAATCTGTTTGTACGGAAATTAAAGCTACTAAAACGAACTGTCTCATGGAAGAACAAATAAGGTGAGAGTTCTCTCTAATCTCTTTTTCTTTTACGAATACGTATACGTGCATACCCCGTGTACGTGGAATGCATGCGTACATCTCGGTGTCGTTTTAAGTTTATCCATTGCAAAACGCGTTGATGGTGGCACGTTTGCGGTCAGGAAAAGATTACTTGTTAATGATGTATATGTGTTCTCGTTAATTATGCATACATTCTAAACGTAAAGAGAAAAAAAAGTAAAGAGAGTAAAGAGATAGGTGTGTCATAGCGAATCGATAAGTACAAGTACATATTATACTAAATATTTGACACGCGACAAAAATTAATTTCAATTACGCGTTTCAATCTAGATTTAATATTCTTTTTGTTATTCGTTATATACAAATCCGATCTCATTCTGATTAATGATTAAAAAAATAATAAAAAAAGGAAGAAATAATATTCCCCTTTTTATTCGATTCACTCTATACAATTTTAACTTGTCGTATAATTTATTTTAAAAAGAGTTAAAAAGAAGAAAAAAGAAATGAATTTGTAAGAAATCGTTATAGGGACAAATTGAACTCGACAGAAGAGAAACTTGCTCTATTCGAAAAGTTGACGGGGATATAACAAACTAATATAATCGCGGAAAGCGTAAGTACGACACATATACGTAGAAATACTAATATACATACTTGGGATAGGGCTACATATACGGGTTGAAAACTCGCGCTATGTTTTAACCGAAAAAGGAAATTCATCGAGTACGACGGTAGTTCGTTGTAACACGGATCGAACGTTGAGAAAAATTTCGAAGTAAACGGCGAAGTATCTTCGAAAAACCGAACACGAGACGATAATCCATCACCGTGTTCGGTCTTTCCATCATTGGCTAATTGACGACGATCTGAAACTTCAAAATAGTACGTCTTTGGACATTTAATGGTAATGGAATTCTTTAGATTTTGCAAACGGAATCTTAATTACAAATTTGTCCATTAAAAAAGATATCTAATCCTCTTTTGAAAATAAATCATTTATATACATATATAAAAATAAAAAAGATAACCGACATTATTTATATTCATAATCATATAATACATGTGATTAGTAGATATTTGTAATATAGAGATAGATAGAAATTAGTATAAATATACATTAAAACAAATTTCTGTACCTTGTCATTTGTATTTTCTTGTATTTTACCTCTGTAATGTTTACCTCTCACTTGGACGATGTTGCAAAAATCGTTAACTTTCTTTGAACTCGGATGCACTAACATAATCGGTACTTT